CAGGAATTCTAGAAATGAAATATTTATTTTCTTCCTAACCTTTGAACATACTAAAGTGATCCTAAATATTTATATTGAATGCTTTTAAACTTTTAAATTCTATATTGCACGTGCTGATTATGTTACCCATGGAAGTGTGGTCGTTATTCAGTTTGGTTTTATTTTCACATATGAATTTTAGATAGAAGTCATTAATTTAAAACCTTAGTAAGACATTTTCTTAAGAAAACTGGTTCAAATTAATGTATCTGATAGTGTACTGTCTCTATCACACTTGATAATTAGGAGAGATTATTAAGGTTTGACTTGTCTGGCAACAGAAAAAAATGGTAGAGGGAAGATGTTGCTGGTAAAAGCAAAAATTTCTGGCATTTCATTGTAATGAAAGATAATTTTTTTTGAAATTTATTTTTATAAAGAAGACACATTTTGAATCAGAAGTACCTGAATGCCAGGTACTTTTCTGAATGCTGGGTGCTGTGTTTGGAATCAGAGATGGTATTTGTCCTGGGCAACTGTCCTATCTGGTTGCTGTATGACTGAACCTAGCACAATACTGTCTTTAGTAAGCATTTAAATGTTTAATGAGCAGAATCTGTGCTTACGAGAAAAAATAGGCAAATGAATTAATAACATATAGGGAATAAAACAAAGATCACTAATTTGTAAGGAGAATGTGATATCTTAATACTTATTTAAAAACTTACTAATCATAAGAGTTTGATAGTGTGATGGATATTTATTTATAAAATGTGACAGAAAGTTTATATATGTATATGTATAAATGAATAATGAAATAATTTATAGATTAAAAATTTATACTTTGTATTGATACAATGAACTGACTCTTCCATGTCAGTTGCTCAAGTTCATTTTGAAAATCTTTGGAAATAGGAAGTGAAAAGGTGTTCAAAATTTTGCATCTTAGCTGAGGAGCTTTCTGATAAAGGGAAAAATGAAGTTTGGCATTTGGAAATAGTTTCTGGAGATTATCAGAGAGTTCTAGTTTCCATTAAAATTAATATAGCTGAGCCACATGTCATATTGAACTGTATGGCCTCTTTTTCAGAATGTCACATCTGAGTTCTATTTAAAGTCAGGACACAACCACTGATAACAAGGCCTGTGAACAGAGCCAGCTTTACAGCATCTGTTGTTATGTAATTCAGCCCCTTTGGAGGGAGTAAATGTTATGGGCCTGTGGTAGGGAAAAGAAAAAAGTAGATACCTTGAAGGTGAGGTTAGACCATCAGGCCAAAATAACAAAATAACTTTAAACTGGGTGGCTTATACACCACAGACATTTATTTCTCATGGTTCTGAAGCTGAGAAGTCCAAGGTCAAGATGCTAGCAAATTTGATATCTGGTGAGGGCTCACTTCCTTTATAGGCAGACTCACTGTAACTTAACATGGTGGAAGGGGCAAGATCTCTTTACTAAGGGCACTATTCCCACATCCATGAAGTGTAGCCTTCCTGACCTAATCACCTCCCAAAGGGTTCCACCTCTGAATACTGTCTCTTTGGAGGTTAGGATTTCAACATAGGAATTTTAGGGGTGGTAAACATGAACTTTTAGACCAGAGCAAGGGATGTACTTAAGAAGAGGGCATCGGGGCTTATTGTATGTTCCACTGGAAGTATAAAACTACTAGGGACTTTCTGTTCTGGTTTTAATCTTACAAAAGAGTTATCCTCTAATGTGCTAAGCAAACACATGACTAGGTTTGTGCCACTGCCTAAAGGAAGACTTGTGGGTATAGAGATGAAATTCTGCTCAGGGATAGGGGGATGAGATATGGGGATATAGGTAGATAAAATTGCCGCAGAACTGATGATAGATTCTAATGCATGGAGGCACTAGAATCATAACCTCTGGAATGTTATCATGTTATCTGATTCTTGCTAGAGCCAGTGACCTGAATTCACTGTCACCTTTAGGAACATCACATGAGACATGAGTAATTGAAGAACTCTTATTATGCAAAGAAGTTGTATTTTTAAACAAAATATTTCCATAGATAACACCTGTATTTTTGATTTGATATGGGCCTTTGGTCCTTTGTGTAAACTTCAGTATACTTTATATATACTTAGATTTCATCTACATTTTTTAGATTTTATGAAACCTGGAAGAAATAGCCTAAAAGTTCTTTCTATAATTGTATGTGAAAATAATGATTCATAATTCATAATTTGACAGGATACTCAGTTTTTGCCAAAATTATATATGTATTTCCTCCATATTCTAGTGCTTAGAACCAATCATCATTGTAATGACTAAAATAAAAAAGCATTTTTTTCTAGTGACTCAGCTTTTTAGAGGGTGGTTTGTGTGTTATCTAGATGAGTGTTTTTTCCTTATGGTTATTTCCGGGTTTGCACATATACAGGAAGGTTCAGGAATAAAGAAGGAAGGATTAATCTATCGTGTATATGCTGCTTTTAAGTAATAAGCTCTGGCAAAAACCTGCTGATGAGGGAGGAGTCAGTAACTCATTATTGAGAGATAGTATTTATCTATACCGTTTCCTTTAGCTCCATCCCTCACTTTCCTTGGCTGACCCTAATTGAGAGTAAACTGTTTTATCATTCATTCCAGAAACTGTATTTTAAAAAGTGCTCTTGAAATTACTAATCCTGTAGTACAAAAATGGTAAGTGATATAAACAGGTAAACTGAATGACCTGGCCAAAGTTACCTGTGACTCAAATAGGTGAAGCAGGAATTCATCACATTCTTCCTCTAAACTGACAACTGTTGCCAGACTTCCCTGACATTTTATATCTTGCCCTGCCTCATATTGGCCTCTAATTTATATCATTGAAAGATTATATTTTAAAATAAAAGTTATCTAAGAAAGTCATTGCTGAGCTAGTGGTCAATAAATATAAATAATCTTTATTTCTTTCTTAAAAATTAGTTACATGCTTTATTTTAATTTTTTTGGTGGAAATCTATTTTATTTTTTATTTTAAAAATATTTTTAGTTGTAGATGACACACTACTTTTATTTATTTTTATGTGGTGCCGAGAATCGACCCCAGTGCCTCGCACATGCTAGGCAAGTGCTCTACCACTGAGCTACAACCACAGCCCCAATTTTTCCATTTTTTAAAATATTTAGTTTCAGTTGTAGATGTACACAATATCTTTATTTTATTTATTTTTATGTGGTGCTGAGGATTGAACCTAGTGCCTTACGTATGCGAGGCAATCGCTCTACCACTGAGTTATAGCCCCAGCCCTTATTTTTTCATTTTTATTTGTGCATTATATTTGTACATAATGGTGGGATTTACTATATATCATACATGGCCAAATAATTTCTTTATTGTTATATTCCTGTTAAGTAATGCTTCCGTTATTAGTTTTTCTGTGCATTGCAAGAATGCCATCAATAATGGAATTACGGAAATACCTGTTAATAGGGAACAACTAGAAGAATTAATTTGGAATAGTTATTTCTTATAAATTGGCTCATTTCTTTTCTGGCTCAGTGATGAAAGAAAAATAATGTGATCATGAAGGGAGAAAGCCTTCCTTCCTATATAACTTTCAGTCAATCCACATATCAAAAGTTATGAATCAGGGAGAAGTAATTGAAGGAAATACTTAAAGGTGAAGCGCTGAGACTGGTATTGTAGCTCAGTGGTAGAACACTTTGCCTAGGATGTGCAAGACCCTGGGTTCAATCCCTAGCATTCAGGCATGTCCATGTGCATGAAAACACACACACACACACACACACACACACACACACACAAGATCAAAGCAATAGTTTTATTGTCTATACTAAGATGTCTAAAGATCTTTATGTGAACAAAGTATAAAAATGTAAAAACATCTGTTGTTTGCCAGACCAAATCTTCATGAGCCACTGTTTTAAAATTTTGAATCCTGTTGAACAGCATTCTGAAGGCTATTAAGTGGAGACTTTTGTCTTTTTTATTCTTAACACACTCAAGTGTATGTATAAATCTTTGGAATGTCAAAGCCACAAGCTTCAGCTTTTTTTTTTTTTTTTCTGTTGCCATCATGAAGAGGAGACCAGTAAATTAGTAATGTTTGATCATTTCTCCTTTGTTTGCTTTTCCTTTGGAGCTCTGTTATAGAATAAAGAATTGGTTTTTTATAGATGAATTATTAAATAGGAAAATCACTTTTTAAAGATATTGTTTTTTTGACAGTGATTAATGATTAATTATCCCAGTTTGCACTGGTAGAAAAACATTATTATAGTATTAAGTTACTACATGGCTTGGCACTGTGTCAATGATCAGCAAATAAAAAAAAAGAATGCATAATAATTTAGACTTAAAACAAAAATTGTATTCTGAGCATGGTGTCAGACACATTTCTTTTTTAGTATCTTGGAGTACAGAGACACAAATATCTTTTAAGTATCTGTTACATTAACTTAAATTTATTCAACATTAGATTCTGAGGTAATTTAGGGAAATTTGGTACATGTAATTTTTACCCATCCTGCTAAGTTAATAGCAATCAGTTGGGTTTGAATGAGTTACCATAAGAACAGGTCAACTATTTGGATTAGTTACCCTGCACCCTTTAAATGTGGCAAAAACAATATGGTTTTGAAGCTAGCTTTTAGCATAAATATCAATCTGATGAAAAAAAATGAAAATTATCAATAGGAAAGTGTTCTTTGAGCCAAGTGAACTAAATCCTAATGAGTAGATTTCTTAAACTGGCTATTAAAACATAACCAAATAGTACCTTTCTTTAACAAACGTGAAACTATTGTTACGGAAGTGGCGTTGATATAGAAATGTGACTACATGGTCCAAGGAGGACCACCTCACCAATGTGAGTCAAGTTCTTTGTTTCTGGACCTGTTGTTGTTTACCCTCAGTTGGGGCTAGGAGTAACAGATTGCAGGATGGAATAGTGATGTATATGATTCTTAAAAATGTTTCAAAGAACACTGAACTCATATTGGCATTCTTATAATCGTTATGTTATTCATTTACTTTCAGTTTGATTAATAAGCTTAAGCCTGGAATCATTAAGAAGATCAATAGACTGTCCACACCAATAGCAGGTTTGGTAAGTAATAAATTATCTTCAGAATGAATTCCTTTTTAAAAAAATGTTATTTATAATCAACAAATAATTATTGTACATATTTATGGGATATAATGCAATGCAGTTCTGGTGTTCTGTTGCACAGTAGGATGACTATAGTTGATAATAATGCATATTTCAAAATAGCTAGAAGAGAGAATTTTGAACATTCTCACCTCAAAACTAGATTTCTTTGTCTTTGAAATGTAAAAAAAGGTCGGCATAGATAGTTCTTTTATCTGTAGTTAACAGTAGACATTAAGTTAGCGATATTTTCCTGGAGAAAAGTGTTTTTGGTGATATCCTCTTTACACCTGTAGTTCTCTTTTCTATTTCCCTCCCACCAGGAGGTTTTTATTTATTTGTTTATTCATTTGTTTGTTTTGATTTTTGTTCTTAGAGCATCATCCATTCCCTTTCTTGGCTTCTTTCCTCCACGGATTGCCTTTGTGTAGTTCAAGTTCTCTGAAGCCCAACTCTGCTGGCTCTGCTTTCTAGTTGACCACATAGTTCCCTAGACTAGCCGGTGTTTACCAGGTGGCTCTGTTTCTACTGCTTCTTACTTATGCATTAATCCCACTCAGCACATTGATCTTAAGTGTATTTGTAAAATATTCCTACTAATGTCCTCTGTGATGCTAGACATGTTGGACAAGTCTTTGTCAGAGTCATATCATCCATAAAATGGCAGTGATGTTTCTCTAGATTTCTTCTAGCTTTAAATTCAGGATTTTTGTGTATGAAAAATACCCCTATTGTTATTTAGTTATTCTGATGAGAGACCAGTAATAACGTGAGCTCTGTGTTTGAAAATAATTTATAATAAATACCAATTGATGGATAATTTTCATAATGTTAAAAAAACAATGCTCATGATAGGAGTTGGTTAATTTTTTTTTCTCAAAACCATTAAGTTTAAAGCAGCTAATAATTGCAGTGTAGAAACAAACTGATTATCTTTGGGATATTCACTGTGTTTATATTACATTCAAGAAACTTCTCTTTGGCCATTCATGTATTTGTAGATGTTAATGGCATGAGTAATTATAGGTGGAAGCACCAAAATTTCTGAGTTTGCAGGAGACATGAAAAACTTGCCAAAATTTTAACAAGGATGAGTTTTGAAAAATGTTTATTATTGGAAAATATCTGCCTAGGAGAGAAGGAATGAAAAGGTTTTTTTAAAATAGTTTTCTTTTGAAATTATAGAGTACATATAAAGTTCCAGCACAGTTGGTTCGAATATTAATTCCTTCCTTCTTACGAGTTGTCTCTGTTGCTTATCTATTATGAATGGCAGCTGGCCTGACTTTTTTTTTGGTCTTAAATGTAGTTAGGTCAAAAACCTGTCATGGGTGTGTGAGTGTGTGTGTGTGTGTGTGTGTGTGTGTTTATTTATTTATTTATAGTCTTCTAATATGTAGTGAGTCAGAGATATATTTTTTTTAATTTTTATTGTTGGTTGTTCAAAACATTACATAGTTCTTGATATATTATATTTCACACTTTGATTGAGATATTTGTTTTTAAAGGGATAAAATTAAAGAAATTTGGTATTTGGATTCTTTCTGGCAGGAAATATTCAGTGTAATAAAATAAAAAATCTTTATATGAAAATAACTTTTCTAAAGCACTGCTGTGCAAATTAAACATTTGAATTATATTTTTCACATGGTTTGAGTTATTGTTAGATAGTTTAATACTTTGATTATAAACTGTCATTTCTTGTATCAATTACATGCATTTTAAATGAAATTAGCCTTTACATATTTGTAATGCTTGAATTGTGATGGTTTTGTTGTTCTTGGCCATTGTAGGCTTTATTCAGTTTTCTGATTGTATGATTAGATGCAAGCACAAATGTATTTTATTTTTAAACCCAGAGATCTCTACAAGTATTTCTATTTCAAGCATCAGAAATTCTATCCAGTTTGGATCTTATCTTTAGTAACTAAAGTGGAATGAATTTCCAGTATACTAAATAGGATGATTTTCTAAATACAAGACACTGAATTTTCAATTGGATGTTAGAGCATGGAGTGACTTCAGCTGTAGAATGGGCTAAACTCAGTTGGTTTGAAGTTAGCCTCATTTGACTCATTCTGGTACTTGTCAGGATGATTATAAAAACTTTTGGAAGTCTTTGCGTCAAGTGTGAATAAAAGCGTCAACATCTATTTCGAAGGGGGTTGTTACAAGAATTAAAAAGAATAATATATATCCCAACATACAGATATTCAACAAACGTTCTTTATTTAAACAAACAAGTGAGGGCCTACTAGGTTGAGGATTTTTTTTAGTTTATAAGGATGTGTTGGAGGAACAAAGATAGATATGAAGTTTGACTCAAGTAAATTAGCAAACGAGCAAAAAAGCATCACAGAATAAAATGTGCCACAGAGAACTAGACTGACATGTTTTGGAAACTTGTGAGCACTTGTAATGGGACTGTGAATATTGATCTCTAAAATTCCTGAAGAAGGAGTATGTCAGAAGCCTTAAATTTTTTTAAAATATTTTTTTAGTTGTAGATGGACACAGTATTGTTGATTTATTTTTATGTGGTGCTGAGAATTGAACTCAGGGCCTCACACCTGCAAGGCAAGTGCTCTACCACTGAACTACAGCCCCAGCCCAGAAGCCTCAATTTTTGACCCTTATTTAAGATGAATGATCTGGCCAATACTACTAATTTTTGTGTTCACAACACACAACATGGGTGGCTGATTCATATAGGAGAGCAAAGATTTTTCTTTTCTTTTTTAAATATTTATTTTTTTAGTTGTTGTTGGACACAGTACCTTAGTTTTATTTATTTATTTTTATGTGGTGCTGGGGTTCGTACCAGGGCCTCGCACGTGCTAGGTGAGCACTGTGCCGCTGAGCCACAACTCCAGCAAACCGCCCCCCGTCCCCCGCAGCAAAGATTTTTCTGATGAATTAGTGAACAATATTTCCATTGTGAATATTAATGGGTTCTAGAATTGGGTAACCCCTCCCCCGCAATAAGACAGTTTTAAACCCCAGTACCTCTTAATGGGGCTTTGTGAATAGGATGGTTGCAGATGAGGTAATTAGTTAAGATGAGGTCATATTGGAGTAGATTGTGTTCTAATCTTATATTACTGATATCTTTATAAAATGATGGCCATGTGAAGACTTACATACAGGAAGAATGCCACGTGAAGACGAGGTATCGATTAAAATATCTCTAATGCAAAGAACACCAAAGATTGCCTGAAAACCACCAGAAGTTAGAAAGAGGAAAGAAAGACTCTGCTCTTTCAGGTTTCATAGGAAGCATGGCTCTGCCAACTCCTTAAATTTGAATTTCTAGCTCTAGAACTGTGAGACAATAATCTCTCTTTGTTTTAAGCCAGTTTTGGTTCTTGGAATGGCATCCCTAGAAAACTAATACAGATATTGTTATAGTTAACACTTCTTACATTTAAATAAACATAGATTCACAGGAAGTTGCAAAAAGCCCCAAAAGGCTTTCTGTACCACTTTCCCAATGTACCATCTTTTTTTGTTTTGTTTTTTTAAGCTGTAGGTGGACACAATATCTTTATTTTATTTTTATGTGGTGCTGAGGATTGAACCCAGTGCCTCACGCATGTGACATGATTGCTCTACCTCTGAGCCACAGTCCGAGCCCCCAGTGAATCATCTTGCATAACTAAAGTATAATATATCAAAACTAGAAAAATTAGATTGATAGAATCCAAAGGTTTTAATCACATTTCAACAGGTTTTACATAGAGTGTCTGCTCTTTGAGTAGCAAAGCACAGAGATGATTTCAAGCAAAGTCAGGTGAAGAGGGTTTATTTTGAAGATTTATCTCATGTCTCATCATGAATTTAGTGTTCTGCTGTAAGCATGGCAGCTGTATTCTACCCAATTACTTTTTTCTTCCCCACTTCAACAGGAGACATTTTTTTTTTTTTTTTGATGTTTCTTAGTTGGATCTGAATGGACCAGGTTCTTTCCAGGCTACACATATCACAGGTCACTTAAGATAATTGTCTTGACCAAATGGGCTGTGGTCAGGAGCGTTGGAGCATTCAGCTCAGTGTGTGGGTTGAAGTAGGTTCTGTGAAGGAAGTTTGTGTCGGGTAGATACACCAAGATTAAGTTAAATACAGTAAGAATTTCTGTGTAAAGTTGTAAGCTAGGAGGTTATGATGGTCCATATTCCCCCTTCAGTCACTCCTATCTTACTCTCTTTTTAGCTACATCTTTTAAGTTGTTCTCAACTACCTGTCATATGTATTTAACTTTTATGTTAGAGCAATGGATTTAACTTTACATATGGACCTATGAGAAAAGCATGGAATGTGCCTTGAGCAATGACAATATGGAGAAACGTATTTATATGCTTTAAAAATATCTTAAATGCTTTGCTTGAAATATTTATGTGATAATTTTCTTTGGGAGGGTAGTAACTATATTCTATTAGATCCTTTCTTTAGTGATATGGCTTTTCTTAGTTTTAGTTCATAAAGAAATACATTCTCCTTAATTTTTCTATCTTTTCTGTTCTTCACAAAACCATGTTTTAAAATTAATTAATCAATTTTATTTTTTAAGCCTAACCAAAGAGTTTGTGTCTTCCAAAAAATTAGCTGGTGCTACATGTGGGTGTGTTCATCATATCGAAACCTAAAACTAAAACTTTATTTGCAAGTAAAAAAGAAGTCCAGTGTCAAAACTAAATCCCGAGAAAAAAGGCAAGATACCCTGATGGTCAAAAGAGCTGTTGAAGCAGAAAATGTTTGCCATCTGATATGTTAGTGTGCATGATATACAATATGTGTGGAAATATCAAGGAAGTTAACAACCCTAAGACTTATAGTCATTTTGGACACCTGATGATTTATTTGTATTTAGGTAAAGCAGGGTTTCTCAGCCTCAGCGCTATTGTGATTTGGGGACAGATTCTTTTTTTGTGGAGTCTGTCCTCTGCATTGTAGAATCCTTA